CAGAATGTCAGTTTGTATTGATTTAAAAATTTATATACAATCAGTAAATTTACTGATTTTTTAGTTTTCGACCTGTGACAATAGTGTATACAATATAAACTGAATAATATCTTCAAAAAAGTATACAGCTTCGCGTCAAGCATCAATTCAAGAAGCTTTAAATTTTCTTGAAGCACAAAAGACTAGTTCAAGCTTACCTTTAAGTATACGCAAAGTTGCTTTTAATTATAGTATTGCTGAACAAATATTGCGTAATGCCATAGCTAGAGGTAGTGTACCAAAATGTCTAGGTCCTTCTATGATACTTACGGCTGAAGAAGAAAATGAGTTAGTCGGGTATTGTTTGAATATGCAACAAATTGGATTTGGACTTACTAAGGAGGCAGTAAATACTATAGTTGTACAGATTCTTAAGGAAAAAAAAACCAGTTAATTATAAAAAGCCCTAGTGATCAATGGTGGAAATGATTTATGCGTGATTATCCACAACTGTCTTTTTGTGTTCCCCAAGAGCTTTCAAAAACACGTGCAGCTAAAGGTAATCTGATTGTTATTCAAGATCATTTTACAAAACTTAAGCAACTTATCCATGAATATTCACTTACGAGTGATAGAATTTGGAATATAGATGAAAGTGGCTTTAATATTTCTGCTCGATTACAAAAAGTATTAGCACAAAAAGGTAGTTGACAGGTTTATAAAACCGCAGCTGGGAGCTCAAAAGAACATGTCTCTGTTTGCCCTACTATTTCGGCAGCTAGAACATATATTCTACCTTTACTTGTTTATAAATGTGTTAATGTAATTGAAAGTTTATTAGTCAGTATATCAGTTCCATCTGGTACAGTTGCTGTATTTACTGATACTGGTTATATATACAAAGATATCTTTAGAATGTATATAGAATACTTTAATAATTCAATCTCTCCTATCCATCCTGTTTTACTTATGCTCGATGGTGCTACTAGTCATATAAACTTAACTAGTATTAAATATTGTCAGGATAAAAATATTCTTCTTTATATTTTACTATCTAATACTACTCACCTTTTACAACCATCTGAAATTCCCTTTAAAAAACTCAAATCAGAATATGACAAGGCATCAGATCGTTATCATATTAATAATAACCTTAAAGTAGTTATGAAGTATTCATTTGCACAAGTCTTTAGTAAAGCATTTCATGAAACCTACACTCCTAGTACAATTAAACATGCCTATACCGCAACTGGTATTTGGTCCCTGAACCCTAATATTATTAACCCTGATCGCTTAATGCCTTTATTACCAACTTTTCAACCTATTCAACCTGTTCAACCTACTGATTCAAACTCAGAACCAACTAATGTACATAATACAAAGACTAGCAAGTTAGCTCAACTTGAGCATGAGAATAAAAAGTTACATGAATATGTTCAAAGGTTGGAGCATTCTGGAACAGCACCTTTAGCTTCGATTATGAAGTATCTATATCCAAAGCAATTATCAGTTGAAAAAAACCTCAAACCCGACCCAAAAACTTCAAATTTGGAACACTTGTAACCACGAAATCAATTGTAAAAGAATTGGAGGATAGAGAAAATGTAAAGCGAAAGAAGATTAAAGATGCAAGATTAAAAAAAGAACAGCAGGCT